AGTTATTGTCATTATTCCACAATGGGGACTGTATTGGCCTTTCAAGGAGAGGGCATGGATCTCTATAAAGCAGTGGCTCCCAACCAGGGACGATGTCATAACCCCAGGGCCCATTTGACAATATCTGGGACATTTTGGGTTGTCACGAGCTTGAGGGGAGCGTAGCACAACTGGCATCTAGTGGTAGAAGACAGGGGTACTGTTAAGTATCCTACACAAGACAGCCCTCCACAACAAAGAACTATCCTGTCCAAAATGTCAGCAGGGCCAAGGAGGGGGTCCCTGGTTTAAAAGGACCTGGTTAATGTCTGTGCATAACAACACGGCCTTCAGACAGGTGTTCATCCAAGGTAGCCTGACATTGTATAAAAGACGATTTTTAATGTTTTATTTTATTGATGTGTGAACATTTATTTGATGTACCAAATGCTTTCTGTTTAAAAAATAAACAGGAAAACAAACAAACAAAAACACAACTCACATCCCTCTCCAGTTTATCTCCAAAGTACCTAAGGGTTAAAAACACAAATGGGCCGCCCTCCAAACCACACATTTTCCAAGAATGTAGGAGGACCTGGTTGATTCACTTTTCAAACTTGAAAAATGAGGCATATTAACAAAGCACACTAAACGAATCAGCTGCTTAGGACGATCTTCACGCCACTCCATTTTTCTGTTATTAAATAACAAACCATGAATCTTGACAAATGAACCCCCTTGTTTGACATTATTTGAAAAACTCATAACACACTCGCTTCTGATGGTGACTTCCCCTTTGAAATTAAATTTAAGATGGACTTCATTTAAATTCTGATAGAGGGAAAGGGCTTGTTAACCTTCCTTGTGACTGTATGCTGTTTATCATCTTCATTCTTTTCCTCCCCCTTTATACATGGATGGGCCAGAGCTCCCGGAAGGGTGTCATCCTGCAGAGTTCATTGCAAGGAAGCCTTTTGTGTTCATTGGTGCCCATATCATGAAGAGGAGAGGTTATGTATTAAGTGTTGTGTGGGGCTGTGTGGCTTCTGGGGTCAGATTCCCTAGGTTCAAACTGGAGCTCCAGCTGCATGACCTTGAGAAAGTCATTTGCCCTTTCTGTGCCTCAGTTTTCTCATTTGTAAACCCAGAAGAAAACGATTTGCCTCATCGGGCTGTTGTGAAGATAACATATAACATGCTTAGCAAGCAGATGGCAAATGTTACCTCTAATTATTTGAATAGTTATTTTAAATATAGCATCTTCCAAAATGGATGCTAAGTCATTTTATTTAATTTCCTAAAGAGGACGCTGGTACGGATTGGCTGATTTTAGCAGCCTCGACATGTGGCTGGCTAAGAGGGCTTTAGCCCCCATGTAAGAATCCCTAACAGACCCTCCCAGCATTGCCACCATGAATAAACACCTAAGAAAAATCTGCATACTTGCCAAGCATATGCAGCTTCAAGACAAGCCCTCTATCCCCCTCCTCAATCCAGTACCATCTGAAGACCCTCTTCTGAAAGTCTGCTGTTCCTACTGGTTTTAACAAGCTGACACTGCAAATTCATGGCAATGCCCTGCCCTGGTACAGTTCAGCATTACAATGTTCTGTATCCCCAGACTCTTAAGTCCTCACCTTTCCTAAATAGGATTTATAAAGTGTGACTTTGATCAATATGGCAAAGCCAATGTTATCTGAGGGAAATAATAGTTTTAACTAACATTTTAAAATGTCTTTCTTAGTACCTCAAAATGATTAAAACGTTAATCAATGATAAAATCGCAAATCCATCTAAAAACAAAGAATTGAGAAAGGAATCAGAGCCACTTTTAATCAGGAAAGTGGCTGCTGTGACCCACTGACCCCTAAAGGTTATCGTCACTCCTTTTTTTTTTTTAGAGATGCCATAGTTCAGTCATTTGTCTTTGGCAGCCAGAGTATGCAAAACTGCTTTTGCTTTTCACGTATTAATTCAAGCCTATGCATTTGTCAGACATTCTAGGAACCTTCTGCCAACGTTTTGTTGATTAAAGAATGTGTATTTTGAAAATGAGTAGAAAGGAAGGAATTTCTAATTCTTAAAACAAAAGAATGATTTACAATGTAGAATGCTACCTGAATTGTTCAGTGTATCATCAACAGATAAATGAAAATATTAAGGATTAGCAAGAGTGTTGGCACTGACTCTTAAAACCTGTGAAGTGATTGGTTCAATAAGACTGAGAAAGTCTACATCTTTCAGTAGAATTTCTAGAACTCACAAACAAGAATAGGGCATAGAAAACCACTTTTCACTGTATGTATTTTTCAAAGGGCTTTTGAAATACATCCTTCTCTACAAGAATCTGGTGCTTCCACTACTATTTTTAAATTATATACCTCATTTCCATGCATACAAGTTTCCCATACTCATCCTAGCTTCCATTCGCTCTGACCGTTTTGTTTTAATTTTTCCCACTGGGCCCTTTGGAGGGCACATTTATTGTTTTAGGCACCATGCAATTTACTAAATGGTGTCCGGTTATGGAAATGCTTGCAAAGACCCCTGGGGCAAGAAAAGAATTAAGTCAACACAGATTGATCATCCTGTAGTTGGTGTTTTCTTATTTGATCAGTCAAGGGCTCATTCGGTCTGAACTGGTCCATCTGATCTGTGACACATAAAGCAAGATGCATTTTTCTGGCTCCCTGGTGGTTTTAAAGGCTATGCAGTGGGAAAAACTGCTTTAAACAAAGCCTCATTTTAAAAGAAGCCTGAGTACAGAATGGAATTCAAAGAATTTGGAGAGAGGGGAGGTGAAAGTGGTAAGAAACAGCTTGAAAAAAGCCCTGGGAAATTTAAAAGAATAACGCACAGGAGGGAAGTCAAAGATAAATCCCATCTGTTCTGTTGTGAGATACACAGACCAGGACACCGCTTCGGCAAGGCCGTATTGAACACCTACTAAGTGCAGGACCTGTAAAGAGGTAGAGCTTAAGTGTTCTGGGGCATTGGAGGAGCGAAGTAGAATTCGTAGGTCAAGAAAGAATACTTTTTAAATCTCAGCCAAGAAACTTTATTCAGCTTTATGCAGATATGACATTCCAAAAGGCAATGAATACCCGTTATTTTATTCAAGTATTGAGAATGGAAGGTATTCTCCCGTGTAATTCATTTTCAAATTGTACGTTAAAAATGTTGGTCATAGATTAAGTAATACTGAATAAGTGGTTGAATGCAGCTAACACCAAGGTTTCTAGCATGGAGGCTGCAAGAATGATAGCAAGATGGAAAGCAATGGGTCTTTGTGATGGGTGGGTGGCTGTGTGGGGAGTGGGAGAGAAAAGACCAGAGGGAATGAGTTACATTTTCACATGTTGCATCCAAGGGGCCTTGTATTATAGCCAATTGGGAATATGGACTGGGGCAAATCTGAAATCCTGGATGGTATAAAATGGATTATTGTAGCAAGAAGCAAAACTGGACACAGCCTCCTGTCTTTATGAGCTAACTGCTGTGATCACTCAGTTTTTATTGTGTGGGATGTAGCTTGAGTATTTACGAGGCATCCACTTGCTATTGGATAAGTACTCACCTCCTACCCCTGATAAAACAGCTAATGAATCTTCAGGTTAGAACTCGGCCAAAGTGTGCCCCCTGGAATCATGATTGATGCATTCACTGTGTATTTACGTAACATTCTAGATTATAGTTGAGAAAACCTGGGATAGATTTAAAGACTAATATCACTTGCCAGACAGATATGAATCACAAATATTATCATCATTATTATTATTTCTTGGTCGTGCCACATGGTATGCAGGATCCTAGTTCCCCAACCAGGGATTGAACCCACGCCCCCTGCAGTGGAAATGTGGAGTCTTAACCACTGGACCACCAGGGAATTCCCATTATCATCATTATTTCTCGTGTTTTTGTTATTGCTAACTCTTATTGTGCACTTACTATGTCCAGGAACCATTTTGTTTGCGTTAACTCATTGAGTTTTTGTAAAGACCCTATGATGTAGGGGAGTACTAATTTTATCCTCCTCATATTAATGAGAATGCTGCATCTCAGAGAGGTTCAGGCACCCCAAAGATCACACAGCCAATAATAAACACATCACGGACTCAAGCCCAGACAGTCAGTGTAATTTTAGAACTTTTGAAGATATGCCTGTATGAAAAGGAAATAAAGGATAAAGTGTAATATACCTCCTAATTCTGGCATGTATAATTATAAAGATCCTCACATTGCATACTCCACGTCACTGGGGGTCATCTTATCATTTACATTTTGTAATAACACAGTGTGACAGGTTAGACCAATGGTTCTTTACTGGGAGAGAGTTCCCCACCCTAGGGGACACTTGGCAGTGTGTGGACACATTTTTGGTCCCACAACTGGGGGGCGGGTGCTACTAGAATCTGGTGGGTATAGGCCAAGGGTGCTGCCACCAGCCTACAATGAACAAAACAGTCCCGGCGGCAAAGAATTATCGTGCTTGGTATATCAGTAGTGCCTCAGCTGAGACTTTCAATCAGAGTGATTCGAAGAGGAGAGAATAGTAGCTCGGTTTGCAAATAAAGGGCATTCGCCATGAAGGAGCAGATTTGGGAATGGGAGAACGAGATAAGATGGAGTCATTCACTCATTGGTTCATTCATAGCATTGCTATTTATAGAGTGATCACACTGGAGAGTAATGGTGAGGAAAGCAATATGAGGAAGTTTCTTTGGAGAAAAGGAGGGAAGACGGAGTAGAGGCAAGGCAAAGATGCTTGGCTGTCACAGGTGAGCTGGGCCAGAGCTTCGGTGCACCCAGGAGAGAACTGTGCTAGGCTGATCCAAATGCAGGGCCAGATGGGGGGAGAGCAAGTGATGTTCTCAGAAGTACCCCAGAGTAGGGACATGAACACGAGTGTGCATGCGTGGATTGGAGAGGCTGAGAAGCTTGCATTGCTTTCGAGTTGCTCTGCTGGCCCGGGAGTAGGTTGCTGGCTTTGTTTTTCCAGTAACAGCCTTTTCTGTTTCCAGCAGTCCTATGCACCAGCTCCCCACCCCATGGCTCCTCCCAGCCCCAGCACAAACAGCAGCAGCAACAGCAGCGGGGAACAGTTGAGTAAAACCAACCTGTACATTCGAGGCCTCCCGCCAGGCACCACTGACCAGGACCTAATCAAGCTGTGCCAACCGTAAGTGCCCCCCGCCCTCTGCGCCATTTCCAACCTCATCCTTGCCCACATGGGCTCGTCCATGTGGGGTTGGGTTTTGCACCCAATGTACCCAGTGAGGAGGACTCTTGCTGTAGAAACGGGGCTTAAATTTAAGATCTGAGTCCAGCTTATTTTGGGAATGGAGTTTGTTTGCCTTTTGCTGTGAAAGAGAAGGTTCTTGAACAGAGAGACATAGGGTTGCTGGCTGATGTGCATGTATTGACCAAGAAGATGAGGAGCAATCATGGAGTTGGGTCCTCACACCTTGTGGTTGGTGGGTTCTCATACCTTGTGGTTGGTGGGTTCTCACACCTTGTGGTTGGTGGGTTCTCACACCTTGTGGTTGGTGGGTTCTCACACCTTGTGGTTGGTGGGTTCCCACACCTTGTGGCTGGTAGGTTCTCACACCTGTGGTTGGTGGAATCAATGATGAATCTCATGAAAGAAACTGTGCTCTTTTTTTTGGAGAGGTATTAGTGATGGGGATCGCAAGAACTCAGAAGTGGTAGATTTCAGAATGGTTACCTGCTGTGTTGCAAAGCTCTTCTTGTCAGTTCTTGCTTGGTAAATGTAAGTTCAGCTGGGACCAGGTAATTGGAAAATTAGAAGGCTAATCCTTTTGTTTCCTTGAAAACATCTATTTCCAAGTCCAGTGAAGCTCTTCCCACCAAAGCCAAGAACCGCAGTCACCTAGTTTTATATTTCCCAGGAAATATGGTAGTGACTAAATGCCCTTCCAAAATGTTTTCTTTCATCTACTATCTACCAACATTTATGTTATTAGCTCTCTTATTTCTGTGCAAATCAGTTAAACATATTTAAGTTTACCCTCCAAATTAAATGAATAGTGGATAACAAATTAAGAAACATAGGCCTGGATTTTTAGATTGCTGTCTGATTATTTTCTTTTTTTTTGATACGCGGGCCTCTCACTGTTGTGGCCTCTCCCGTTGTGGAGCACAGGCTCCGGACACGCAGGCTCAGCGGCCATGGCTCACGGGCCTAGCCCCTCCACGGCATGTGGGATTTTCCCGGACCGGGGCACGAACCCGTGTCCCCTGCATTGGCAGGCGGACTCTCAACCACTGTGCCACCAGGGAAGCCCCTGTCTGATTATTTTCAAAGTAATATCAGTGCAGCTATTTGTCACTTGACTGTGCGTTAGCTGGGTATTTTTAAGTTGGGGGAAACTATTACTCAGTTTTTCTTTTGCTGTTTTGCAATGCTTTTATAAGAAGGTTGAGAGGATATTTATTTTGTAAATTTTCCAACCTCTAAAATTTTGGAAGAGGAAAACAAGGCAGATAGTATTTATTTGCCTTTGTTCTGGTTTTGAAGATTGGGAACAAATATCAAAACAACAGGAAGTGGCAGATTAAACAAAACACAAATACATAACTATATAATCAGTTGACAAGGCAGTATGTAGACTAGGGTAGGGGCACCCTGCTCTGTCAACTGCCTTGATTTGTGAAAGAGGTAAGACAGAACATTGAAAAAGAAATATTTATTTGAAAGCAGTTAAAACAAAGAAAGAAAGGTGCTAGGGATAAGATATACAAATATGTTAGGTTTTGGTCTATAAAATGTTGAGGTTGAGAACCGGAAGGTAAATCACTCAACATTTTTAAATTTTTTTGCTAGTGTTAGAAAATTCTAAACTATTTTGATAAATAAGGGCTTTGAAAATGTGAAAGATGACGGACTTTATATTAGAAGCTTCAGATGAATAATCTCCTGTAATGAATACTGATGTGAAAAAGAAGGCCAGCCATTATCTTTGTGTGTGAATCTTATTCATAAAAAATATTGGTGGGTTTTAAGGGAAGATTCTTTCCCACTTGTTGAGCTTGTTGAAACACAGATTTCTGGGCCCCTGAGATTGTGATTTCACTAGGTCTGGGCTGGAGCCAGAGAATGTAAATTTCAGCAGGTTCCCTGGTGTTGTCATGATGCTGCTGGTTTTTTGAGAAATACTTCTTTAAAAAAAAAAAAGGCACAACTTAAAAGTTGAGAATTATGTTTTATTGGGCAGACTTGCTGAGGGCTTAAGTCTGGGAGGCAGCTTCTCAGACAGCTCTGAGGGACAGCTCTGAAGAGGTAAAGGAGGAACCAGGAGATACAGGAGTTTTTGCAACAAAGACCAGGTAGTCAGAACATCAAAAGATTACTGTTAATTAAGGAAAACCAGACATCTCAAGTTAACGAATTTAGTGTTTTTCTGTGTATGGGCAGATTCAAGAGTCTGGACTCATTGAAATCATCCCTTGGAGATGTACCTTAACTATCTAGGGCCAGTATCCTGCTTTTCTTCATCCTGAATCTCCTCAAGATGCACAGGGTGGCTTCAGTGGCTGATGGCTTGGTGTCCGCAACCTCCTTTGTTTACTGATGTAGCAGTTGACCTTTTTCATCCACATATCTCTACATTAATATAAAGTCCACTGACTCTTTCTAACGCAGAAAGTCTCACTAAATATGTGAAGGTATTTGAGGTGGTGTATTATAACCTGCTTGGCCACCGTGTGATCTTGTGGCAAATCATTTACTGTCTTTGAGCCTCCGTCTCCTCGTATAAAAGAGTGGGCTGGGTTTGATTATTTCTAGGTTTCCTGTAGTACCAGTGGTGTACTGCAGCTGCCTCTGACTGAGGCACCAGAGCCAATGGTTAAATATTCAGGAATTCTTGAGTGATTTGTTACATACTCAGTATCTTGAAATCAGCCATGGTGGGAGTATTTATATCACAGGAATCAGCAAGACCTATAAATGAGGGCTTTTAAAATTCTATGTAGTTTTGTTTTTTGAGAGCTGGTTTATGAACATACCACTGATGTAGCATTATACTATGAATTTCTGTATCAGTGTCCATTTCTGCAAAGATATTGCCAGAAATTTATAAATGGAAAGGGTTACCTAAAGTCTGCATTGGCATTTTTAACTCAGGAAAGAGATCTAGTGGCACAAGAACATTATGTTTGAGGGAAAAAAATGTTTTGTTTGTGTTTCTTCTGTTTATTTGAGAAATTTAAAGAATGCCAAGGGCACAGAGGGTAGTGGTTACTTGTTCATATTAATTTTTGCTGGCTAATAAGACCTGGCCCATGTTATTGTTATTGTAAAAATGTTTGTGGGTTCTTCAGTTATTGAAGTGGTCTGGACCTGAGGTTTATTGCTGAGATTTGCTTTCCGGGAGACTGAAAGAACTAATGTGACCGGGCAGCATAATGTAGAGGAAATAGCCATGCGCTGAGAGTTTGGGGTTTCACTCCTGGCTGTGCCATCAACTGGGTATGTGGCCCTAGACAAGTGACTTGTCCCCTCTTAATTTTGGTTTTCCCCATGTATAAAATAATTTGTTTATACATGATAATCTTTTAAATATTTTTTACTTTAAAAGTCTGATAGTTCATTGAGGCCCTCACTAGTTAGCAGAAAAACCTACTCTGGTCACCTTTCACCAATCCCCTTTTACAGTGTTGGCAGGGCCACTGCCTGAGCTGATTCCGCTGCATGAATATGACCTGAGAGCTGGGGACGCCTTTGTTAGGGACCATTGTAAGTCCTTTATAAAATCCTGGTTTCCTCTCTTGTAGTGGTGATGTCTTAGAGGGCTCCTTGCTCTTTTAAATTAGCATTCTTCTGAAGATTCAAATCATCTTGCATTCCTATGACTCATCCAACACTTTAAAATAATGTTACCTACAAAACAGATAATATTTGTAGGTTTCAATTATCTTGCCATCAGGATCAATTTTCCATGGTTATTCCTATGAAATTATAAGAACTTTCAGAGTTACTATTCCCTTATATTATAAGAAGTACAATATTTTCTAATATCCATAGTAATAAAATAATAGAAAACAGAGATATATTAAAAAGGCAGAGACATAGCAAATTATCTGGCATTAGAATACAATATCCATATGAATACTAATGAACAGTAAGAAAATGATATTAAAGGAAAGAAATTGCATTATTTCTCAATGTATTATCTGAAAGCAAATGCTGATTAAGAGATTCCATTCACATTTATCATCAAAGCTCCTATGGTTGGATCACAAGTAAAGTCAAGGAAAGAAGGCAAGACTAAAGAATAGACATGAAGAATCATTTTACTCTATGGAAAATCTCGCTAGTTATACCTATGTTTTGGATGAATACATGGCATTTTGTGTCTTGTAAGAAATACTAGTGTTAAAGACCTTGTAATGTCTTTTCTAAAAACATTTAATTTTACTTATTTTTTTATACAGCAGGTTCTCATTAGTTATCCATTTTATACACATTAGTGTATATATATCAATCCCAATCTCCCAACTCATCCCACCACCACCACCTCCCCCCGCCACTTTCCCCCCTTGGTGCCCTTACATTTGTTCCCTACATCTGTGTCTCTATTTCTGCCCTGCAAACAAGACCTTGTAACGTTTTTACCTTGAAAAGTTTCAAGGAATTTCATTGTGTTCTCAATCAAGAAATTTTCACAGAGCACCTATTGCATGCCAGATAGTGTGCTAAAGATTCAGTGGTGAGTACATTTAGATAAAGGTCTTGCTTTAGCAGAGATTATATTTTGATAGGGAAAATGGAAATCAATGAAATGATCGTGTGATTTGATATAAAATTGCAACTACAAATGCGAAAAAAAGAAAGGAGCATGGAAATAAGAGGATTTGTAACATGGGATGAGACCTTGTTAAGGCAATGGGCAAAGGAATCTCTGAGCTAAGATCAGAAAGAGTAGGAATAGGTTTAACTAAATGAGGAAGGAAGGGAAGAGCATTCTAGGCAGAAGGAACTCCATGTGTGCAGAACCAATGGCTGGAGGGAACATGGCAAAGACAAGAGGCTGAGCAAGGGTCAAGTTGTTATAGCAGAGAGAGGGGGTGGAGCCTGGGGCAACATGACCTGGAAACATGGAAGGGGTATGGTGATCCCTTTGTATGTCACTTAGGAGCTTTGTTTCAATGAAGGAA